TGTAGGGGCTTTTTCCTGTCTCTCAGCAAGTATGCTAATGAGGGCTCTTGCGTGAGCCAATCAGATTCTGCCTAATGTACTTAGTGCCTATATAAGCCCGCTCCGAGAGCTCCTCGGGGTCTTCCGCTTTAGTCATCTTCAGATTCCCCAATAAAGCGCTGTCAGAAGAACTCCGGTTGCCGCGTCTTCCTTGCTGGCGAGGCGGGCGCGACACTAAACCCCATCCAGTGGGGGATGTAGGCAGAGGCCTGGTCTGAACACTTGGAGGTGGTTAAGTCCTGTAGTTAGATTGTATCTCCTACGTTCCCAGATGTGCCCAAGTCTTACATTAAAGATATTTCTTGCTTTTTCCCCAGAGAAATGGCTTCTTCAACCAGTTCGCAAGGAATCCTATTAGAATAGGTGGCATTTAGCAATCAAGAAATTGGCACATACTGTTGATAACAGGGCTATGAAGTTATAAAACTATTTCAGAGAACAACTATGAAAATAAATGAGCCACACAGCACAGATAATAAAAGGGATGAGCAAGATAGAACGTATATTAATTTTTAAAGTTCTATTTATAAAATAATTTTTTTAAATGAAGTGGGACAGGAATAAATTTTACAAGAAATATGTGGAACTTATATAAGTAGCTATAAAAGCTGTTGAGAAACAAAGACTTGACTAAATGGCGAAATATTCGTAGCAGAACAGGAATACTCAATATTATAAAGCTGTTGATTCTCTCTATATCAGCCTATAACATCAACAAAACCCCAATTAAAATCTCATGGGCTTTTTTTGATGGGACAATGTGAGCAGATCTTGATAAAGTGACTCCAGAATTGTTCCAGAAAAATAGGACTGAGAAAATAGCTTGGGAAATACTGAAAAGGATGTTTGACCAGGAGAATTTACTTTATCAGATATGAAAAATGCATTACAAAATACTGTAATTAAAACAGTCATATCACACCAACAATAGACCTGTCTATCCTTTCCCCAACAATTTGAAATGTTCTCTTTATCATATAATAAATCCTCACATATGGGGTAAAGGTAATATATATAACTTAAACATTTGTATCCCCATAATATGCTGGAATAATAAAAAAATAACAACACACATGGACTCATTACTATTTTAAGATTATCTGTAATAAATCAACTCTTTTTCAACACTTTGGGACCTCATTTCTATAAATTCATGTATTTATAGAAAAAATAAAATAAATCCCCACATATATTTGAATCTACAAATCATTAGAATAGAATATTCAAAAATATATTCAAATTTTTAAAAAATTGGCACAACTGGTTTGCTATTTGAATATGACAAAGCTAGATCTGTACCATGTTTCCTATACCCAATTAAACTCAGATAGATCCAACATTTAAAGATTAAGAATAAAACCAAACTAACTCAATAGAAAGGAGAGGGATATAAGAAATCACTGGTGATAAAGACTAAATTTAGAAACCAACAAAAAAGACAGTACTGAAAATGTTAACAAATCTAAATACTAGCTTTAAAATAATGATTAATTTAGGGACACTTACAAATGAAGTGAAACAAATATTAGTCAAAAAAGATTTGGAATTGAAGTTCCATGTTGTTCATGAACGAAAAAAAAGAAAAAAGTAAAATTTTAAAATACAAAAACAACAAATTAAAAAAAAAGATTTGGAAGATCATAATCGGAAAGATCATATTTAAGGTACTTGTATTGTCCAAAAGACAGATAAAGGTACCAAATCATATTAGATATTATGTGTGTTTTCAATATTTAAGGGCTACCTCCATAATAAAAGACATAAAGTGCATAAATTCCAACCCAATTAAAAGGAAATATAGGGGAGGGAAAAGCAAAATCAATCTAATACAAGTTAGAAAAGGGAAAAAGGAAAGACCTGGTTAAGAAGAAATACAAAGTAAGTGACAGAAGTCAAAATATGCCAGTAATCATAATAGACATAAATGGATCAAACTCATTCAAAAGCACAGAATATCAGATTGAATGGGGAAAAAATAGTTATATATTTATAAAAATACATTTAAATCTAAGCAATACACAATGGTTAAAAATAAAGGGCTGATTGTGAATGATAGTAAGAGGGGCAAAAATAAAAATTTTAAAAAAAGGGCTGGGAAAAAATGTACAAGGAAAATACTAACCAAAGCTACTTTCAATATATTAACATGAAAGAAAATAGAATCTAAGGCTCAAAATCACATAAGGATAAAGTTCCAAGTAATAAGAACAATCTATGAACAAAATAAGTCTACTATATACTAGGATGCAATGACAAGAGAGCCTCAAAAAATATTAAACTGCTAGGCCTATAAAGAGAAATGGACAAAGTCATCATCTTATTGAAAAACTGTTAGTTCAAGAGGCAAAATCTAGAAGTGTCATATAGCACAATTAGCAATATATATACTCAATGGGAACACATTCTTATTGAACATTCATGGAACATTAACAAAGATCACTATGTAGAGCACAAAGGAAAGCCTCAATAAGTTCCACATAATTGATAACATCCTCTGACCAAAATACAATTAAATTAGAAACAAATAAAAAAGATAGCTAACATAACTCAATGGTTAAAGAGAACCAAATAAATTACAAAATAGAAGGAAAAATAAAATTATAGCAATACTTGACAAATGTAGCTAAATTATTAAAAATCAAAAGTATTGAAATAAAGTACTGAGCTCAACATACTAGAAAAAATATTAAAGAAAACAGAAGGAAAAAGAATAGATATTAGATAACCAAAAATATCAATAAAGAGAATTTACCAAAGAAAAAGCTTATTCTTTGAAGTCTAAGAAAAAATAGACAAACCTCTAGTAAGTTAGACTCCAAAAAAGGAGACAAGGCACAAATAAACAGTATTAAAAATAAAAAGGGCAAATACTTGCACTAGAGTTTTAAAACTTATAAGAACATTGGGAAAAATTTTATACCAAGAAATTTGAAAATCTACATGAATCAATTTTCTTTAAAATGAATATATATCAAAAATTTATTCAATCAAAAGTATTAAACAAAAGTAGACTATAACCTGTAAATAAATTGAATCATAGTTTTTAAAAAAACTCCTCTGCCAGGATGTGGAGAAATTAGACCCCTTGTACATTGTTGGTGGGAATGTAAAATGGTACAGCTGCTGTGGAAAATGATATAGTGATGCCTCAAAAATTAGACAAAGAATTATCTAAGAATTATATCCAGCAATTCCATGTCTGGGTACATACCCAAAAGAATTGAAAGCAGGGTCTGTAAAAGATAATCTGGTCACCTGTGTTCATAGCAGCATTATTAACAACAGCTAAACAGAAGCAACCCAAGTGACCATGGACAGATGAACACATAAGCAAAACATGGTATATACACACAGTGGATTATTATTCACCCTAAAAAAGGAGAAAATTCTGACATATGCTACAACATGGATGAACCTTAAGGACATTATGCTAAGTGAAATTAACCAGCCACAAAAAGGCAAATACTGCATGATCCCACTTACAGGAGGTAGCTACTGTTGTCAGTTTTATGGAGACAAAAAATAGAATGGTAGTTTCTAGAGGTTGGGGAAGGAGGGATCAGAGTTTTGTTTAATGATATAGAATTTCAGTTTTATAAGATGAAAAGAGCTCTGGAGGTGGATGGTGGTTATGGTTGTGCAACAATGTAAATGTACTCAGTATCACCAAACTGTATGCTGAAAATTATTAAGGTGGTAAATTGTAGGTATATTTCACCACGATAAAAATAGCTTTATTTATTTTTTTTAAAAAACCCTCTGCTCAACAGTGTGTAGCTCTCCTCTAACCAGCCTCCCCCAAAATAGATATCAGGTCAAACTGATTCATAGGCAAATTTTTACCAAACATTCAAGGAGATTAATTCCTATATCAACTATCTCAGAGATGTGAGAAAATTTGTTTAATGAGGTTTATACAAATAAGACAAGGCCAGTACAAGAAAATAAAATTAAACAACAATCTCTCACCTAGAAGCAATGATGCCAAATCATGTGACTAGCTCTGCAAGGTAGGTGTATTGTTCCCACTTCATTGATGAGAGAAATGAAGGCGAGTCCCTTACCAAGGTCCCACGGCTCAGGGTGGGGCTGGCCGGGGGCGCGCACTCACCAGGATGGGCTCCACCAGCGTCCCCTCCGGCATGGCCGCGCGGTTCATCCTGGCGATGCTCTCCAGAGTGGCCAGGGCAGCCCGAGTGTTCCCGGTGGAGACGTTGAACCTAGCAGACTCAGGAATAAACTGGGCACGGATTACAAAGACGTCAGAGAGGCGACTGCTGTAGGGCCGGGGGTATGGCTGTCACTGCTCCGGCTACTCTACCGTCCCGAGACAGCAAACATACGAGCCCGCTTAAGGGCGTACAGCATAGCAGGCATTCTGCTGGATTCAAGTTCCATTTGGAACAAAAAAGGTCTTGTTCCCCTTATTGTCGTCCCACCTAGGATGACGATGCGCTAACACCAAGCTTTGCACCAGTAGAGCCTACCTCATTGTAACACAATGAAATCCTTGCATCCAACTGGAAAATACCTGCTGCCCCAGCCCCCCAACCCCAGCCCCTCCCCAGGAAGCCCGGACCTCCTCACCGTGCAACACCCTAAAGGGGTACAATATCAGGGAGCTCTAGCCCCCACGTGGAGGAGGAATCAGTCCTGGCTATGGCCGCCCTCAACCCTCTGACAGTGGAATATTTCAGAATCACATGCAGAAAACAGTATGAACTTCCGCTAAAGCCCGAGAATCAACTCGGACCTCTCCCTGTCTCTCATGCCTCGTCCAATCGAGGCTGTTGGTTCCTCCTCAGAAAAGCGTCTTCCTGCCCTGCATTCCCATGGCCGGCGGGCAGTTCAGGTCCCCCACTGGGATTATTCCGACACTTGTGACTGATTTTCCAGCTTCTTCCCTATTTCCTCACGCGCAGCCTCCACACAGCTCCCGGCACGCAGTCCCTTCCACAGTGAGAAGTCCCCTTCTTAGATACCTCCACAATACCCTCCCCTTAATCACAGTCCCCTTCTAAATACCTCCAGCGACCCTGGTCTTCCCAGCCTGCCTCCTACCAGCTCCCCTCCCCTCCCAGCCACCCCCCGAAACACGTCCTGCATTTCACGTCTGCATGACCGGCCAGCCCAGATGCCCGTCCCTCTCCGGCCAAAGGCTGTCTGTGCCGCTCCGCAAGGCGCAAATCCAACAGCACCGCCCCACTGGGATGACTCAGTCTCACCTCTGAGCATCCACAGAGCTTTAGCTGTTACAGCACCTACCCCAGTTTTGCTAGTACTGTCATGTTTTTGCATTTGTCGCTCGCTCTTGCCGATTGGCTAGGGGCTTCTGGATAGTAAAAACTGTGTCTGAAGCATCTTTTTAACCTTGTAATATAGCATCGGGCCTGGTACGTACTCAATGTGAATTAAATGGGAAGACCAAGAGTCAAACTAGTAATCATATAGCTCAATAGCTAACACACATCGAGTACTATGTTCCAGACACTAAATGGAGAGAGTCTGACATGGTGTCTAACTCGATCCTTGCGACAGTCCCATGAGACACGCCCGCTCATTAGGCACAAAGGGGTGGGCTGACTTGTCCAGGACAGTGGAGTCAGGACTCTGCTCCAGAAAGTCTGGCTAAAGAGCCAAGAGGCCATGCTGCCTCCCTAGAGGCAAATCTAGGGCTGAAACCAAAGGATGAAGTTTAAATGTTGGAATTTCATTTAGATTTAAGAAAATACGTCCATTACATAATTATAGATTTCAGGTTCTAGGCTTGAAAACAACTCACGTAGATCAGATCTTAGGTTGTAGTTGATCCCAAGCACAGAAGAACCCAACAGTGGGACACAGCTGGCTGGGAAGCAACGCGAGTCTTAGGCTACATAGAGAGGGGCAGCTGTTCTGCTCACAGGAAGCGACACGCTGGCCAAGCCCCCAGGCCCAGAGCACCTGGGGACCTGGGTGCGATTCTGAGCAACAGTTCACTGCACAGAAGACACCGGCCAACCGGGCTTGCCCAGAAGAAAACGGGCAGGGCTCTGGGACCAAATGTCTTGAAAAGGACTCGGAGGTAATGACCTTGCTTCATTTAGAGAAGGAACGGCTTGGTCAGACACAGAGTCTTAAATGTTTAAAGGGATGCCATGGTGAGAAGAGCGATCTCTGGTTTTCCAGAGGAGTGGTAGCACTTGCAAGTAAATTTCTAAGGAGAAAATCCTGCTCAACCTGAGAAAGACCTTCCTGACAAGTTGGGCTGCCTGGAGACGGATACACTGTAAAGTCCGTAGAGTGTCCCATGCCTGAAGCTGGGCGTGTTCTGGCAGACACCTGCTGCTACAGCGATGCCTGCATGGGCTGAGGTTCAGAATAAATGACCACCAAGGACACTTAAGATTCTGAAATTCTTCACTCTGGGAGGCCGAGGCAGGCAGATCGCTCAAGGTCAGGAGCAAAACCAGCCTGAGCAAGAGCGAGACCCTGTTTCTACTAAAAATAGAAAGAAATTGATTGGCCAACTAAAAATATGTAGAAAAAATTAGCTGGGCATGGAGGCACATGCCTGTAGTCCCAGCTACTCGGGAGGCTGAGGCAGCAGGATTGCTTGAGCCCAGGAGTTGGAGGTTGCTGTGAGCTAGGCTGATGCCATAGCGCTCTAGCCTGGGCAACAGTGAGACTGTCTCAAAAAAAAAAAAAAAAAAGACTGTGAAATTCTTTGATTCCATAGGGTAGCAACACAAAGGAAACAGAGCCCTGCTCCAGTCAGCCAATCCTGTCTTTGAACAACACGTAGAATTCTACCAGAAACCAAGGAAGATGATGATTCTGCCATGGGGCAGCTTGCAGATGAACGGTGAGCAGAAGCGCAGCCAGCAGGACCGCGGCGGCCTGAGAACATATCAACGGCATCTAGTGTTGAAGGTCAGGGAGGCGTCAGCACCAACAGGGCTGGGACACCAGAGAAAACCCCCAGGAGTAAGGGGCGATGGCACAGGCTGAAGGAGGCAAGGGCTGCAAGCGGGTGGAGACGGACTTTCCAATAAAGCGGTGGACATGAGAAAGGTATCTGTGGGGCAGAAAGGCCACCTGGCCGGCAGGTGGGCAGGACAGGGGGCGCTCACTCACCTTGAAGGCCACGATGAGGATGATGCCCGGAATGGAGGCCACGCGGATGAGCCAGCGCCACCCGATGCTGGGGACGACCACAGAGGCCAGGCCGATGATGAGCAGGGAGCCGGCCAGCCAGAACACCTGGGCAGGGAGGGGAGGTGACAGCCCGCCCACCCAGAGCGCGTAGCGTTTGCGCTCCTGGGAGCCGCCTCGCCCGGCGCTGTGCCGGGGTGAAAGGCGAGGTGGAAAAGAGTGTCGACTGAGGAGCACACAGCTAAGACCCCTCCTGGCACCAGCTAATGGTGCTGGACAAGCCTCTTCTCTCTGTCTCGGTTTGCTCTCTGTAAGTAGGAGATGCAGCTGGACACAGTCATGTCACCGAGCTTTAAAAAATCTGGGACCCTATGAAGTCTCAGAAACTGACTTAATTTTTTTATATAAACTGGTCATACATTCACTGGATCATGACTTTGAAAGCACAAAGGAGACAGTTGTGAAATTGTTCTTTTCTAGTCCTCTGCCGTCTGCTTTTTCTCCTCAGAGGAACCAGTATTACCAATTTCTTCTGGATCTTTCCAAAGCTGTTCTAAGCATATACAAGCTAATAAGGATGTTTCAGTTTTCTCTTTCATGAATGGTGCCCATAGTACACATATTGCTCCACATTTTGTTTTTTATACTTGAAATATATATATATGTGTATATATATATAATCATTTTATATCAGCAAATAACACGGAGCCCACCATTACCCCATTGGTCGGGATTAGACCCACCCTGAGCCTTAGCCGGAGGATCATTCACCCACCTGAAGGTGGGGAGTAAATGACAACTCCATTCTACTGTACAGAGATGGAGAAAGATAATGGACATTTCGTGGACGCTAATTAAGGGGTGACTATTTTATAACTAAAGAATTCTATTACAAAAACCCAAATAAGATTATTTAATAAACTGATTAGGGCAGGGTGCAGTGGCTCACACCTGTAATCCCAGCATTTTGGGAGGCTGGGGTGGGAGCATCACTTAAGGCCAGGAATTCAAGACCAGCTATGGCAACATAGTGAGACCCCACCTCTACAGGAAATTAAAAAATTAGCCGGGCATGGTGGTGTGTGCCTGTAGTCCCAGCACTTTGGGAGGCTGAGGTGGGAGGATCACTAGAACCCAGGAGTTGGAGGTTACAGTGAGCTACGATGGTGCCACTGCACTCCAGCCTAATGATTTGGCACACGTTGTGGAGATATAGGTGACAGGGTTTGCTGGTGGACATGCAGATTAAGGGTCCAACAACAGGGCCTGAGTCTGCAGGGCTAGTGATTGAATAGGGAGGAGGGGTAGGGAGGGTCCAGGATGGCGGAGTCTGTGGCTTAGATGACAGAGGACAGTGTTCAGTAGGGAAGATGAAGGGATAAGTTCTGAGCATCATGTATTTGTAAGACATTCAAGTGACCATCAGGTCACTGGCTGCCTGGGTCTGAAATTTAAGCAGGTGCTCTTTGTTGTGGATAAAGATGTGGGGGTCACAGATACCCCCACATAGAGAGCTAAAACCAGGGAGTAGACTAGATAACCCCAGAGAACCTGGAAAGGACTGGCGAGGAAGAGACAACCAGGAAGCGTGTCAAGGTGTGAGAGACGGGGACAAGAGAAATGCCCGTGGGTACGCTTGAGCAGGACTGTGCTCAGCAAGTAACACCAACTGTAAAATCCAAACAGTAAGTGTTAGAAGTGTGTGCCTCCACCTCAAAGATGGAAAGGAGAGAGCTGGGAGGAACAGAGTACGCAGTGCTTGTGAGGTTTTTATTCTTTTTGTTGCCCAAGTTCAGCAACAACAGCGAAGTATTCTCCTACTCCTTTATTTGTTGCTAATACATAACACTTCAGTGGGAAGGGTCTTTCCCGAGTCCTGAAAGGTCAGGGCTCTTGGATAATCACAGACGGTATAGGGCACCTATACTGGCATGTCTTCTGGATTCAAAACCTCTAATGGTTGGCCAGCAGGAGCCTGAGGAGGCCCTGGGGGTGCCCCCGTCCTGTCACCTGAATAGATGGTTCAGTGGGAGGTGGCAGTCACAGCATGTTCCCTCAGGCACGAGCCGATTCCGGACTTGCCAATACCAGAGCCTTGCAGGGAGGAAGGGCACGCTAAGGGGCAGTAGCTGGGACCCGCCACGGAAGACTCAGTGGGGAGAGAAAGTTCCTCCCAGATGCATTCCTGGGCCTCTGTCATTCCCGTGAAACCAGTCACTGGAGTATTTCCTGGTTACCGTGTTCTAAATGGCACTGTTGGATGGCAGGAAACCTTGGCATTGGACCTCTGGCTTTGAGCATTCCCAGTGCTTGCTGGCCGGTACCAAGTGACGGTCAGTGTGTTAACCAACCAAAGAACGATCAACCAGAAGAAAAAGTATGTATAGGCACACCTCGTTCTATTGTGCTTCACAGACATTGCAAGCTTTAGTTTCCCCACCACGCCATACACACACACACACACACACACACACACAGACACACACACACTCACTGAAGGTTTGTGGCAACCTCTCATGGAGCAAGTCTATTGGTGCCATTTGTTTTCCCAACAGTATGTGTTCATTTCATATCTCTGTTGTCACGTTTTGGTAATTTTCACAATATTTCAAACTTTTTCATTTTTATATCTGTTGTGATCAGTGATCTTTGATAGCACTATTATAATTGTTTGGGGGCAGTACAAATGGCGCCCACATAAGATGGCAAATTTAAAAACGATAAATGTGTGTGTGTGTTCCGACTGCTCCACCAACCAGCCACCCCCCACTTCCCCTCTGCTTGGGCCTCCCTATATCCTGAGATCCAACAATATTGAAATTAGGCCAATTAACGACCCTACAGTGGCCTCTAAGTGTTAAAAGTAAAAGGATCACACATCTCTCACTTTAAATGGAAAGCTAGAAATGGTTAAGCTCAGTGAGGAAGGCACACGGAAAACTGAGATAGGGCAAAAGCGAGGCCTCTTGTGCCAAATCATTAGCCAAGTTGTGAATGCAAAGAAAAAGTTCACCCAAATTTCAGCAACCATCACCTGATCAGTCAGCAGCCATCAACGTCAAGGCAGGACCCTCCACCAGCAAAAAGATTACCACCTGCTGAAGCCTCAGATGATCTTTAGCATTTTTTAGCAATAAAGTATTTCTAAATTAAGGTATGTACTTTTTTTTAGACATAATGATATTGCATAGTTAATAGACTACAGTATGGGTAAATGTAACTTTTATATATACCAGGAAACCAAAACATTTGTGTCACTTGCTTTGTGATATTTTCTTTATTTCAGTGATCTGGAACCAAACCTGAAATCTCTCCTGTATGCACATAATATTTTATAGAATGCAGAAGATTTGGTGAACTTTTGTTTTCCCTTACCTGAGACAAGGGTAGCATATAGCCTCGGTATTTTGTGGGCAAAAACTCAGTCTTTATGATTAGCCTGAAGAGGAAGAAGGAAAAAAAAAATCATAATTTTTTATAAAACCAAATCTTTTTAAAAACAATCATAATTCTTCTTGTCACAGTAATAAAGAATTCAAAAACATAGAAGTTTATCATACATGAACATATAATTGTTAGTTAGCATACACAGAAGGGAACAGTAAAAAGTAAACTTTCCACTGCTGCTCTGTTTACATTTTTACTCCCAAAGTTATTTTAAACCTTCTGCCACTTAAGAGATATTAGCCGTATCTTTTTTTTGCCAAGAGAAACATTGACAAATGTTTTCCAAAGCCTGATTCTCTATTCTAAAACATACTTGGGAAATTAAAATACACCCAAGAGACGGTAAATTGTTTTCCCAACTAATGATGGCAGTCAAAGCACAGGTTTCTAATTAAGTACACATTAACTTTGTGACTAGAAGAATGAATGGAATCATATTCCATCAGTTTCCTAATTGCTCTTCTCTGTTGCTATTATTAGGCAGGGTTCGGGGGTTTTAAAGTATTTATTGGCTGTTTTCTGAGGGATGTTTTAAAATTCTACTTAGCTTCCACTCCTGTAGGGCTCCAAGGCTCAAAGCTTAACTTATGCCCCAGGGAAGAACAATTCTTTTCCTAACACGTGAAGGCGGTAATTAGGTGCTTTGACATCTAATATATTTTAAGGATAACTTATTCCAAGGCACCCAGGAGAGAATCACCTGGTCCTGTTAATTTAAAGAAGGCTCCCAAGGACCAGAACATTTAGCAGAACAACTTTCATCCCCATGCACAATAAGATCCTACACACTCACCCAGACAAGTGGCACCATGTCTGTTTCAATACAACCTACCTTGCTTGGCAAATTCACTTCAGCCCTGTTTTACGTCACAGTGTCGTGACACTTTACAATGGTCATTCCTAATGCTAACAGGTGCTTATGGCCAAACTAAACTCTCCCAACAAATTCTCAAGAAATGAATAAATTGTGTTTGTGCTTGACACTTTTGTTACCTAGCTAATATAGCACTTTTTCTTAGTATTTAGTCTAGCAAAACATTATTCATCTGGAAAATAATGTTTAGCCTTAGGAACAAAAGCGCTAACACAAGCTCAGTCTAGCACTCTGCTACCCTCACCATCATTTTGGGGGAGCAAATGTTGCTCCTAGTGGAGCAATAAATAAGCAGCCGTCACTAAAAAAAAACCAAACAAAAAGCTCAAAATGGGTTAGCACAAGTGGAGCCTACAAATTCACAATTTAGCAATGCTGTTGCCCCACTAAGCGCAGCGTCATGTATAAGTTGCTGCAAGGGGACGCATTGCTCTCTCGGGGTCCTCTGGGTGAAATCTTTACCCTTGTGCATGGCCGGACACGCCACAGCCCACCATCGTCCGCAGGAAGACAAACCAGATGTACGAGGGAGCGAAAGAGGTCAGCAGGGAGAAGTAGGCTCCCCACAGGAACGAGATCAGCAAGATCTGAAGCGACAGAAGAGGACTTGTTAATGGGCCTGCCTCAGGGAGGGAAGGGAGACAACCTACCTTCTGCAGCTGGTTCTTAGCCTCCAGCCAGATGTTTGCTGCTGTGAGCAGCTAGTCTATCGCAAGCTCACGGTCTCTCACAGTCAAACCATACAACCCATGCCATTCCATTGTCGGAAAGCCCAGACGTGCCACGTTTGGACCGTTCTTTAAAACACCCCCACTGCGGCCACCCTCCCAGGTGGCAGGGACCCCCGAACTTGTACATCAGAAAGCAAAAACACGCCCTGCCCGCTCTCAAGCCTGTTAGGAGTATAATGCACGATGTTGAAATGAGTATGAGGAGAAAATTTAAGGTATTTTTTTTCTCTAATTATAACAATATAAGTTCGTAGCAGAAAAAATAGAAGAAAAAATAAAAGGTTAAAAAAAAAATTGAAATCACCCTGGACTGTCTGACCCAGAGAAAATATCATTAACATTTTTTTTGTGAGACAGGGTCTCGCTCTGTCACACAGGCTAGAGTGCAGTGGTGTCGTCACAGCTCACAGCAACCTCAAACACCTGCCTCAGCCTCCTGAGTAGCTGGGACTGCGGGACTATGGGTGTGTGCCACCACACCAAGTTTTAAAAATTTTCTTTATAGGGACTGGTCTCGAACTTCTGGCCTCAATGATCCTCTGGCCTCAGCCTCCCAAAGTATTAGGATTACAGGTATGAACGACCACACCCAGTGGGAAAACAATTTTTTAATGGCTGTAAAATATTCTAGTGGAAAAATGTACTTTAATACATGTATTATAAACCCTTCCCCTATTGTTGAATGCTGAGGTTATTTCAAATCTTCTCATTATTAAAATAAGCTATGATGATGTTTATGCATACATTGTTGCATCTTCTCTTTTAACCTCAGTAAACTAGATTTCTGGAAGACAAATTGTCAGCTTAGCAGAATAGATATTTTCAAGGTTCTTGATTCATACTGCTAAGATGATGGTCAGAAAAATTATCTCAATAGGGTATAATGATATATATTATATGTATAATACATAATAATATAATCAAATAGGATATAATGAGGCTGTCTATATACTTGCAAGGCATGAAAATGTTTCTGCAGTGCAGGATTTTTTGAGAAAAGAAAATTTCCTTATGGATTTGATGTTTGATATGGATTTGATAACTCCTATGCTTTAATGTTTTTTCAAGGTTTCTTGACCATTTTCTTTTCTTCTTTGATAAGATGCCTTTTTGTGCACTTTTTCTTTTGAGACACTTGTGTTCTCATCCTAATTTACAGGCAGCTGTGATATTTATTTTATGTACTTTAAACCACACAGCCTATTCTATTAATGTTTTCCTTTGAGGTTTCTCTTTGTGTTTATGTTTAGAGAGGCCTTCTTCACCAGAAATCAAACAAGAACAAGAGAGACCTGGGTTTGTAATCAGAAGACATAATTTATGTCTTGATGTTTTATCTTAGTAGGTGTCTGACCTTGAGCAAGTAGCTTAGTTTCAAAGCTATACCAAAGTTAACTAATGTGTAGCTGCTTATGTTTATACCTGCAAATTCCCTTTCTAATGTTTTAACTATGCACATCCATCAGCTTGAGAAAGTGAAGTGGCTCAGAGCAGTCTGAGGAATGTGAGGTATGGAAATTTTTTAGGCCCAGAGAGACGTGAGCATGAGACTTCAGTCATGTTCCCTGCACTTGTGTCTGGGGGTAATTGTTTAAAGGCACTTTGTTTTTTCTTTCCTTCCCTGTAGTTTCCAGACTAGCTCATAAATTATCCAAAATGTTACCCCAGGTTGCATAATGTGACCCTCACCCTTTGTCTTCGTGTTCCTGGAATCTGTGATACAAAGAACAACATATAGCCAATTGATAGCTTAAGTTACCTTAATGAACCAATGTGGACTCTTGGTCAACAACTTAGGAACTGCCTCCAGGCTTCTCAGCCATCCTCCCCCCCTAAAGACCCACTTACAACCGCTGCTAATTGGAGCATGTATTCAGGGCAACTTGAATCTATGACTCCTGGGCTGTGGTCCTCAACGTTGGCCCAAATAAACTCCCTGCCTATATTAATTTTGACTCTGTTTATTCCCTTAGGTCAAGATTTACAGTTTGAAAAAGAAGCCCAGATGAAATCTATATCTACCTTCCTTTCAGTTGAGGTTTAGATTTTATCTGGGCTTCTTCAAACTCTTTCCTCCCTTTAAGAGTGAGGAGGGGCTTCTGTTTCTGTCCCTGGCCAGGAGATTCAGGCAGAGAGATCTGCAGAGAACTTCTGCCTTCTCCGTGGCTGCCTCACAGCAGGAGGTTTGGGTTACACAACTGGCAGTCTCGCACTGGTGGTTTTACTTTTTTTGGCCTAACAGTATATAGCCTTCTTTTAAAATTGCAGCTGTTTCCTATTGCTCGTAATTTTTTTTTTTTTGGGGGGGGGTCCTTGTGGTAAGGACTGGAAAACCTGCTAGACAAATTCTAAAAGAGCTATAACATTTATTGCTTGTAATTTGGACTTATCTTTGCATTTGTGACCAGTTCCTGCCACTTTCAAACCGAAAGGTACATGAAGGCCCCCGGAAGTTAAGAGACACTCACGCCCTCCAAACCTGGTTGGGTGCTCTAGGGGACAAGAGGCTTTACAGAGGTGCTAGGACATTTGCTCATGACATGTAGCAGTCTCATAGGGCCTCCCTGCAAGAAGAACGTTTGCAGGGACTTTGGGCTCAGCCAGAAGATGCACACGAGGGCTGGATACCTGGTACCTTAACAATCTGCCAATACAAGATGATCAGAGATTCTGAGGCACATAGAAGAGCAATTCATGATTCACTGGTGACTCTTTGAGGAGTGACACTCATATAACAGCATACTCCAACCTGATATACTGTCCCAGCCTTGGTCATTTTTGAAAAGGAATTTCTAAAATTAGGGGAAACTACTTGTCAAAAACTGAACTTTCCTTTAAGGGACAACCCACCTCGGAAACACCAGCTAGATTTGTAGGTATTATAACATCTATGAGACTCCATCTTGTAAACACCTACGTAAATGGACTCCCGTGATGCAAGATGATCTCAAATCACAATGACCAAAATGGGGGTCTTCTGGAATATTAAAAAATTAATATGTTTGTGTGCACAATTGGGGGGAAAGAGACAGGTTTTAGAACCAGACAAATTGAATGGGAGGCCTACTTTCAATGTTATCTAGGAGTTTCTAAGAGAGGTACAGGAAAAGCTGCTTACCTCCAGGGGAGGCAAACAAAATTGTCAGAGACTATTTCAGAGCTAAAGTAAACCTTGGAAATCTCTTCTCTTTCCTTTGCTCCTCTGTTGCCTTCTTCTACACCTGTATGTCCACTTTAGTCCAACCTTCCACCTCCAGATATATCACTTCTTCCACCCCCTCTCTCAGCCATGGGAAGAGGCTGAAAAAAAAACCACAGAGCATCCTTCTAGCTGCCCCTTTCAGAGTAAAACCAGCGACAGGAAGAGGAGAACCAGCATTTGTGTATATAATTGTGAAACAAAACTGAACTTAAAAATATTGTAAAGGATTTTTCAGACCCAACTAAAAACCCCATAGAATTTGCAAAGGAATTTGATTTGAATGTCTGAACTTATGACCCCAGATATTCTGACCTCTATCAGTTAGTCCACATTGGTATATGAATGGCTTAAAAAGGCAAATTGAAATAATCCATTAGAGGCTTTTAATAAAAATAGTATGGAAGACCAAGAGTGAATTTGCAACTTGGCAAAACTGCTTCACGATGCTATACCACAAATATTTCCCCCCCAAAATTTATCGAAGATCTAACAATGAACAAAAACCAGGTGAACTTGCTCTCAATTATTTTGAATAGTTTGCAAAAAGCTTTCAAACAATATTCCAGTTTTGGCAGATGTGAGCTCTTCAAAAATCATCCAAATATGCTATATGAAGCCATGGGAAAGAAAAAAAAAAAAAACATCCAAATGATATCCTTTTAAACTCTACCTTCCTCAAAGGACCAGATGAAGACCTACTCATTTTAGTTAAGAGACATCAAATGAACTTTAGGGCAACAATCCGGACTCATGAACTTGTCAATCCTGCCCAGTGGGTCTCTCAAACTCTCCAAAAGAAAGAAAAATAAGGCCTCTAAAGTGATGAGCTTGCAGCTCCAGCAGCTGACAAGCCAGATCAAACCACTGAAGAGGGAAACAACCTCAAAGGACCAAAGAGGAGTCTGTTTCTATTGCAAGACACAAGATCATCTTTTAAAAGATTGCAAAAACCATAAACAGCTACAAGAGAGGAAAACCACTACAAGAGAAATAGGGCTGCCCCAAGGAATGCAACCAGCCTTTTCCATTTTTTCTTACTGACACTTCTCCTAGGTGGATGTACTGATAAACGGGAGAACAGACTCATGGCCTCATGGATAGAGCCGCCCTTTCTGTTCTCAACCCCACTATGTTAAACTACCTCTGAGTAACAAAACCATTCAAATGGTGGGGTATGCACCCAGTCCATGAGTGTTCAGAAGTCCCAACGCGGGATGGTCATGCTGGAAACTCAGACTTGTGGGGGAGAGAGGGAAAAGGCATCTATTGAAACCTTAAAATCTGTACCCCCATAATATGCCAAAATAAAAAAAAAAAAGAAAAGGAAAAAAAATTCAAATAGAGCCACTTTGCAGCGCTTATTCCTTTTTGCTTGTTCCTTCAACCCCTAAACACCATCTTGGTAGAGACATCTAGACCTCCGTAACACATGCATCTCCTCTCAAACTCCATGACCGGACTGCAGGGGACCAGGTGTGGGGACAGGTACCTCGGGAAGAGATGAGAGATCAAGACACGGGCCTGGGCTCACGCCTGTAATCCTAGCACTCTGGGAGGCCGAGGTGGGAGGATTGCTTGAGATCAGGGATTCAAGACCAGCCTGAGCAAGATCGTCTCTACTAAAGCAAGATCGTCTCTACTAAAAATACAAAAATTAGCTGGGTGTCATGGCGTGTGCCTGTAGTCCCAGCTACTCAGGAGGCTGAGGCAAGGAGGATCACTTGAGTCCAGGAGTTTGAGGTTGCTGTGAACTATGATCACACCACTGCACTCTACCCAGGGTAGAGCAAGAGTCTCCAAAAAAAAAGATACAAGCCCAAAAATGTGCTGCCAGGGAAGGAAATTGCTGCATTTTCTGTTATAGATATTGATAGGAAAATGCCCGTTAACGAGAAACAGTGGTAAGAATGCCACAGAAAATTCCAAGTCATACCGCCGGGCCCGACCTACCTTCCAGCGGCCGTATCTGTCAGCCAGGAGGCCAAAGAGGATGCTGGAAACCATGTAGCCAAAAAACACCATCTGCAGGTGGGAGCGAGAGAAAATGGTTCTCTAAGAGTTTTCATAAGATGTTAATTTACCACATTAACCATTCATCCATCTTCACTAAAAATAGATTGAAAATATGTGAGGGGTAAAAGTTAACTCTGTAAAGGGTTTCACGAAGCCCTGGCCCCTGGCAGGTGTTTATGCTTCTTGTTCGATGACCCCACACCTTGAAGACCCTGGCACCAGGTGACAACAAGGGTCCATGGAGCAGGTAACCTCCTTCCTCTAACCCAGGGATGGCTTCGACTCCACTCGGGTGTGTAATTGTGAATTTCCATTATGATTTTTTAAAATTTTGGTTCCTTCACGCTCTGCCTTATTCCCTAGGCAAGTTGAGGCCACAGAAGCGGTCTCCATGTTGTCACAAGTAAACAAACTTTGAACACCAAAACCATTCACTTTAAAAGCTCTCCAAAACAAATATAAATGCTAAGATGAACTTGCTTATTTTCCTTGTTTGCACGATGGCTTGTCCTTCCCTGATGGCAGTTCAAGGATCTGGGATTGGATACCAGCATTTTAATTCAGCCTGAGATGTAAGCTCTGCCTTTAGGCTACTTATTTTTCTGCCTTCAAGCAGCTCCAGGCCTCACTGGCTTTTTCCTCTTTGGGAAGAGCCCTGACTGGTCGCCTCCAGGGCAATCAAAGGAAAGCTGTGAACTTGTGTTTCTAGGTTAAGAAGAAAAAGCAGAAAAGCTGTTTCTCTTTGGCTGCTTCTTTGCTCTTTCTTTATTCTTTACTCTTCATAAGCAAGACTCGAATGCATTTCTTCCACAGGGAACTATAAAAAAAAAAAAATCTTACATTCTTGAACAGAAGCTATGATTTTGCCCCACGTATTGTACGTTCTGGGATAGAAGCCTTGACTCAGAGCCCACGTTAGCCCGTGAAACTGTCATCACAGGGTCCACAAGAGTTCCGTGGCGGGTTCTGGACAGCAATATAGTTACAATTAGGTATTAATCAGGCTGCACCTTGGCTTGGTTCCTGCAGCTGCTTACTAACCGAAAGCCACAGAACACTACAAACTGACCCCATTTTTCTCAGACCGGCTCCCTGATGTTAGAATCATAAGGCTTTTGTTGATAAATTAACATGTTTTTTAGATCCCGAATTCCAGCTGAACAGCTGATGCCAACCAGTTTGAAGACCCCCAGGGAGAAACTGAACTCTGCCCTGCACCCTTCCTCCCATCAACTGTCTCCGCACCCGACCCACTGCTCAGCCAAATCCCTTAAAGTCTCAAGCCCCAGACTCTTCAGGGAGGTGGATTAGAGGTTACCCCCCGTCTCCTTGTTTGGCTGCCTTAGGATTAAATTTCTTTTTTTGCTGCAACTCTGCGTCTCCCTGTGCTGACTTGTTGCACGTTGGGCAACGAACCTGGTATGGTCACACCCAAAGCTTAAAGCTCTGATTCTGTAGCCCCGTTTGGGAGAATGCGGTGACAAAACTCCCTCTCTGTCCTCCCCTTTCTGTCTGTCTCTCCCTCTCTGCCACCCCATCCCTCTGCCATTCCCCCTTCCTCCCTTCTGCTCTTTTTTGCAGGTGCCTATCCTTAGTGTGAAAATGACTCTTCCCTCTGATTTAACCACTTCGGTACAGTGCTCACCAGCCGCGAAACCTTGCCCGCAGTCCGCACGACAGTGTGTGCCGTGCGCTGACAGCGCATCTGTTTTGCTCTTGTGTGATGAGGAAAGCTTTAAAGCACTGAAAGCTTGTTTTACTTTACAGGCAGCTTTACTTGTAATGTAAATCAGAATAGGTAACACATACATATGTGTTTTCATTACGTTATTTTTAAATGTTCACAATTTTATTTTGATAAACGAAAAATTAGAAAAGTCATATCACAGCTGTTGGCTAAAGTCCCTGTGCGCGTTCATCTGTGGCTGTCGACTATAGTCGACACTGGTACCGAAGTGGTTAAGCAACACATGAAGTTTTATTTCTTTAGCATTAACTCATATGTGCAAAACACGATGGACATAATACACCCACGTCCTTTAGATTTTCAGTTAACGACTGCTATTATGGGGAACGTGGAGTTGGGGTTAGGGGGTATGAAGCCTGGGAAACTGGAAATGTTGCCAATCTGCATGGAATCCTGCTGGTAGCAAGATTGTTGCCAGTGAGCCCAGGGGGCAGATGCCAAAGTTAGATGGGACTCACAGCCAGGACCAGGAATGACAGACTAAAGAAGGAAGACTGTAAGGAAGCAGTCACACTGTGGGCAAGTTTAGTTACTTAGAAAAAAGCCTTCTGAGCTTTGATCCACCTAACAAGGGAACACACACAACTGCTATTAAGGAGCCCCTTTAGGCACAATAGAACACCTAAATGCAACCAATGAAAGATGAGCTGTAAATATATATAACTGCTGCATCACATAATTTTGTAGAAGTGGCAGATGCAAATGCCACAGCTGGATCTCCAACATTCTCAGGAAATAAGATGTTCATACCTACAACCAACTAGGGTGCGGAGCAGTTACAATTAAAGTTACAGCCATGACCCTAAGAATAGAGGGAGTGGCAACTAATGCTTTTGTGGAAGTTGTCAGAATCAAAATGGAGTCACTTATGCCAAAACCCCAACAAAATGGAATGGAGGGGCCACAAAGGTGGGGTTCTCATGCACACGTGCCCATGACAAAAACCATTACAAGGACACTTTGAAAACCACAACAGCCTTGCACAAAGAAAACCTCTGTGGGGCTGGGTACAGTGGCACAACACGCCTGTAGTCCCAGTACTCAGGAGGCTGAGGCAGGAGAATCACTTGGGCCCAAGAGTTCGAGGCTGCAGTGAGCTGTGATTGTGCCACTGCATTCCAGCCTGGGCCACAGAATGAGACCCTGTCTCTAAAAAAAAAATAAGTAAAAATACAAACCTTCTCTGTTCTAAAAGTATAGATTAAAAATAATTCATGCCAAAAAGTAAAAGGGTATATAAGTATAGTAATCATCCTACTGCAATCCCCCCGTGCTATGCATGTTAAAGTTTTGTACACATTTTCTATTAATCTGCCTTCTGCCGGTTGATTTTTCAGTCAGCCTGCAGAGGGTGAATGTTTTCCCTTGGTCCCTACAAAGCCCTGTCTTCATTAAAACCAGCTTAAATACCCACGTAAAATCAGCCCTCTCTCCTCGCCTTGTGACCTCCTTGGCGGATGCCGTCTCCTAAACACTCCAGAACACACAGCCTCGCCTCTGCACACTCTAGCACTGGTCGCCACAGCACCCCGTGCTGGACCTCCACCCTCTAGCTCGGCCCTTGGGGTTCTTGGAAAACTGGCCACACCCCTCCTGAGAGCCCTCCGATGGCTCCCACCCCCAGGTATGGCCACCAGCATTGTCACGTATCAGGAGCCTCTGAAGATTAAAAAAAGAAAACCCACAGACTCAGTGGTAGACAGCGTACTTCAATATCCACCCGATGAGAAACGTATAATGACTGTGAAGTCAATAATGCTTTTACATAAAATCGATTTTTGTTATACAACATGGTAATTGGAAAGAACTGTAATATGGATCTGTGTCAGATAGTTTCTGCTTGGAGGCTTATGCACTGCAGCCCAGTGCTGGGGGGGGGGGGTGGCTCCAGAACGGAGTCTGCACACGGCTCAGCTCGAGGGGGCCTCTGGCTCCTGTCCGCCTCATGACCTCAGCTCCCCTCGCTTCCGTGTCACCTGCTATTTAAGCAGCGTGGCACTGCTTGTGGGCTTCGTAATGTGCACCCGTGCACACAGTCTACTGGCAATTCACTGGCACTTAATACTTTTTGCAAGGACAATGGATAATATCCTGAATTCCACTTTGCAACAAAACTTGTCATGCAATTCACAAGGCTTTTTTCATAATGGTCTTTGAGAAAAGTTGAATGAGTAAAATTCAGTGAGTGTGATTTGGTGATTGCTTAAGTCACTATTGTCTAACTAGCTTCTCAGTGATCTGACCTCTGACCTAACCCATGACTGACCTAAGGCTTAAGAGTCACTTGTTCTAATTCACATTTCTCTCCTCTAGACTCTTGCCTGGGGCTGGGAAGTTAGCAGTTCAAAGAAAAGAGAAAGGTGAAAGAGGCATCACTTGCTGGTTTCAGCCCCAGAACCCATGAATTTGGGAAGCCAACAAGCACTGAGGTATCCTTTGGCTCTCAGCCCTGTGGGATGGGGGAGGGGAGCCCAGGCCCCCACTTGGCTCATTCACAGCAGATACTCACCGTGGTCACTAATGCCACCTGCCAGTTCTCCAGTTGCCATTCACAGCGGATGACAGGAGACACAACGGCTAATAACATGATCTCCATGGCCTCCACAACCTTAAAGAAGCAGAACACAAAGCCATGGCTAAGTGCCAGCTTGTTGTCACTGTCTGCCTGTCCATCATCCTTCCTAGTTCTAACCCCCTCTCCTCCACGGAGCCCCCACGGTGCACCCACACGGCACCGCTGGTTGGATAAAGAACTGTAGCAGAACTTCGGCTCTCACAAATGTAACATTCATGGTTTGAACTTGAAAGGGTCCCCAGAGATTTACGACATATATTCACTTGATTTGCTGACCCATGCATTTGCACGGTGGCACTGTGAGGGTGCCATGGGGGCGGCCGGTCACTTAGCTAGTGGGTGCACCTAGCTAACCACCAGCCTGTCACCAAGCTTTGTTACGTTGCACGCCTCGGCATGAAGATTGCAGGGCAAACTCCTTGCAGATGGATTTTTGAAATGGTCTCTGCTCTCAAGAGGCTGGGATGGGGAGGAAGGACGCATGAAAGCTGGGTAACAGTGAAGCTATGAGCACAAAATAAAGAGCTTACTGGCAGGTGCTGTCTAGTTGGCAAACTTAGTGCAGGGTGTGTGCTACTAAATATTTCTTCTGACACACAGTTCGAGCCTTATCAACTCTGTCCCCATCTTGTGATCCTTTACAGGGTAAGTTTCTCTCCTGAGGAGATGAAATAGATGCTAGCAAATAACTGAAAGAATAAACCAAAATAGATGAGAGAAATTAGGTAGAGAATCGTGGAGGAGGAGGAGTGAAAAATGAGCGAGGTTTTGTGCCTGCAGGAAGGGACGATCTTCATCACTGGAGGAGGAAATGAATTTTGGGGCGACATGTTCTATTGATAGCATTGATAGGATATGGATTATTAATGTTTGTACTTGGAGGTCTGGGGTAAATACGGTGGAACGATGTTAGCTAACGTGTGGGAATTGGAAGTGCCTATGTCCCCTTGGGGAGCACTGTCGCCGTGGTCAGAGTTCCGACGGACGGCTGGTACGTTTTAGCTCACAAAGTATCAAGAAGAGATGGCACAATTATCTCAGAAAACTGATTTGTTAAACTTAGCTCCCTCAGCGATATAGAGCAGCTGGGTCGACATCAATCAGGACGCCACTCCTCTAAAGGGTTCTAGAAGGAAATAACCCGATAAGGAATCAGACTCTGGCCTGCTCCGATGCTCACCTTAGGGGAGAGCGGCCAGCCGGGGTGGGCTGCAGGGCGGAGCTTCCCTGCGTGAGATCCTAGAAGACCTCGTGGAAGTCCTCAGACAGACAAGAACTTGCAAGCTCTGTCCAGGGCGGGCGCCGCTCGGCTGCCTGGTACAGCCCGGTCACACGAGGCCTGAAACCCAACCTCTGCTCCCGCCGCCTCCGCGCCAGCCCCGGCCCACCACTGTCGAGCGTCTGTTCCCATGAGGCTCCTGTTCACAGAGCGCCCCCTGCTGGGAGCAGACGAGGCCACGGTTACTGCGCCCAAACAAGCAGTTGTACTTCCCGGTGCCCTTCCTAGGGAGGGCTGGGGAGAGTCCGAACAGACTAAGCAGCACGAGGACGACCAGAGGCCATTTCACCTCCTTGCAGGCGTCCTGGTTGAAGGTGGAAGGAGGTTGACAGTGAACCCCCCCCAGTCACACTTATCCACAAATACAGAATCTTAAAAACTTGAAGCCTATCAGAGACCTCACTTTATAGGTGAAGAAATGCTCTGAATTGTATTCTTGATTATTATCAAGGTAAGACCAGCGGCCCAGGGAACAGTGGCTCATGCCTATAATCCCAGCACCTGGGGAGGCCGAGGCAGGACCTCTTAAGCCCAAGAGTTTGAGACCAGCCTGGGCAACATAGCAAGACCCCATCTCTACAAAAAATAGAAAATAATTTTTTTTTTAAATAGGGCTAGGACACATCTTGCCTGTCTCTTTTTATACTTAGACTATCTTGTGAGAATGCGATGATTTAAAAAAATGCATCAGAACTTGCATGCTACCTCCAGCTCATGTGACTCTTTTTCTTATACCATTTAGCTGAGTGGTGAGGGCCAGAGGCCTCTCGTGTTTTCTCACTCATCTCCCCCTTAGATATCTTCACCCTCCCACCCAAACCACTGTTGTACTGACCACCTGTCTTCGATTATCCTGTTTCACCATCATCATGCATCTCAGTGTGGGGTTCTCAACATTGTCTCACTGCACCTTCAAAAGGAGAACGCAGGAGCGGTCTTGTGGTTCCCCTCACACCGCCACTGCTGTTAAAGCCGAGTTCAGCTGTCACTCCTCTTTCCTCAAAATGGCCTATGATAAATGTCACAGTCCATTTGTGCTGCTGTAACAAGCTACCTGAGATTGGGTAATTTTTATAGAACAGAAATGTATTTCCTCACGGTTCTGGAGGCTGGAAAGTCCTGTCGTCTGGTGAGGGCTGCATGCTCCGGGGCAGAGGAACTCCGAGTACTCACTCGCAGAAGGCAGGCGAGCTGAACCCCGCTGTGTGAAGCCTCTTTTATAAGGGCCTTAACCCCGTTCACGAGGGAGGACCTCGCGACCTCATCACCTCTTAAAAGCCCCACCTCTTAATGCTACCATAGGGGCAGCACCTGAGTCTTGGAGGGGCCACATTCAAACCTTCATCAGTAAGGATCTGGAAGTCTAATTATAGTAGGTGTGTCAGGTGATTCTTATGCAAATAATGTTTGAGGGCCACGTGTCCAATTTTACACAGAGTAATACCATAGTTTTCTCCCTTCTTCCTAATACCTCAATTTAAATCATATATATATATATTTTTTTTGAGACAGAGTCTCACTTTGTTGCCCAGGCTAGAGTGAGTGCCATGGCGTCAGCCTAGCTCACAGCAACCTCAAACTCCTGGGCTCAAGTGATCTTCCTGCCTCAGCCTCCCGAGTAGCTGGGACTACAGCCAAACGCCACCATGCCCGGCTAATTTTTTTCTGTATATATTAGTTGGCCAATTAATTTCTTTCTATTTATAGTAGAGACGGGGTCTCGCTCTTGCTCAGGCTGGTTTTGAACTCCTGACCTCGAGCAATCTGCCGCCTCGGCCTCCCAGAGTGCTATTACATCATATTTTATGAATGAGTGTTGAATTCCCAAAACGCAAAGACACAAATAGTCATTTGCTCATGACCAAACACCTGCCAAAAGTGGATGACAGTGACCTGGCCTCACCTCCTCCCACAGTTGCTGCTCCTTCCACATCCCCCACCCCCAACCCCCGAGACGGCCCTGAGCTGGGGTCACAGGCGGCTGCAGGTGCCAGCAGCGAGGTTAGCGACGGGCGCCCACGTGATCTCCAAGGAGCACTCACCCCCGTGCTGCCCATGATGAGGAACAGGGCGATGTGGAAGCGGCCGAAGCCGATGGTCTCCACCGCGTCCTCCACGGTGAACGTCTTGGGCTCTAACGCAGAAAGGAAAAGGGGAAGGAACAGCTTCCGGTGGGAAGGGGACGCGTGGGGACTACTCCCCTTCGGAGAATGTGGGAGAGCCGATTCGCTATTATAAAGACAAGTTGATACGGGGGTGGGGGGATACTAAACAGCAGCTTCAGAGCTGGGGACTTCGGTGACAGTCTCACCTTTCGGCTGTGGCTCTGGGGTCCCCAGGCTCAACTTGCGAAGGCTGATGATGGTGACGGGCTCAGTCTGTTTGGTGGCCATCTCCTAAGTGGCTCAATTTCCCCACACAGCTTCCCCGATGGCAACGAGGGAGGGAAGAAGGAAAGCAATGTGGTGGTTATTGGGGGCATGCTATATGCCAGGGGCGCGACACACAAGATTTCATTAAGTGCTTACAAAAATCTAACGCAGTCTGAGTATTTTCATCCTCGTTCACACATGGCTTCCGGAACCAGGTGGCTCAGTGTTTAAATTCTTCCCCTGCTACTTATTATGTGTGTGGCTTTGAGGAACGTGCCCTTCGTACACCTCAGTTTCCTCATCTCTACAGTGGGCATAATGTGGCGAGTGCACCTAACGCTCAAGGTGTTGCAAGCATTAAAGGAGGTGGCTCATAGACATGCCGGGCACGGCCGGATGTGCTTGGTAAATAGGCATTTCATTATTTCTGTTTATTACGGATGTATGTGAGGACGTCATTGCACTGGGCACTTTGCACGCATGGATGATCTCCTCTAATCCTCACAGAAAATCTATGCAGCACTGTACTTTGTCACCATTTGGCATGTTGAGGAACCTGAGAAATGGAGCACTAAGTGGCTGAGTTAGGCAACTGGGATAAATCGGGCTCAATCAAGAGGCCACACCGGACAATCCCGTGGCTGGTCACCAAGCCTGAGCGGGGCCAGATGCAGGTCCTAACAATTGGAACAGTCGCATCCCGGAACTGGGAGGGACGATGGCCTTGGCTGCAGAAAAGGAGCCGCAGTGGCCAGCTCTTCCCACGCCCACGGATCCCGCGTTCACAGCGTGCACTCTCACTTGGGGTTTTCATTTCGTCCTGATAGAAACCCTGGGGCTCCCTCTTTTCATCCCCCCTTTTGCACACAACCCTAAAGGGATTCTTAACCCTAAAAATCAAAAGAAAAACAACACAAGCAAAGATGGGCATCAAGTCAGTGACTTATCCACACAGAGAGGTTTTTTTCAGATGACTTTCAGACACAGTCATGGAATTGTTCATCCTTAGTGGGATCCGCACAAATCCTAAACCGTTCTCAGTAATTATATTGTTAGTGATAATATTGGTATCATTATTTTGATACCAGTAGGATAAAGCAATAATATTATTATTCAGAACCAATATTGTTGTTATAAGAGGAAAAAGGTAAATATAAAATCAAATTATGCAAAAAAACATATAATCTTAATTTTGAATAGGAAATGTTGATATCAATTCATTATGTATTTTATTATATATAGTAAATATATGTAATACGCAAATCTAAACAAACCATCCAGCCAGCACAGGTACCTTAGGTAAATGGCTGGTTCTGGTCTGGAGATAGGAAATGTACAAACTGAGCCTGGAATATCTTGTTATATAGCACATGGCATGGATAATATCAAAGACTGCTGGGTTGTGACAAAAGATTCCAAGATTCAGCTTGAAAAGGTTCCCACTGGCCAAAGATGGGACAATTTGGGCATCAAAAAGAATAATGACTGCAAAGAATTGAAACACATCAAAGATATTAAAATCCATTTGTTGACAGTAATACTAAAATGAAGACCTCATTGATCACCTTAGAAGGATGCTAAGAAACAAACTCATTATTCTGAAAACTAGTAATTGTACACAGTAACCAAAAAGTTAATGAAAGAAAATTACTCTTCAATTTCAGTTAATACATGCAGAAAGAGGATATAATTGAATCACCACTATTTTGTCACTCCTAACAAAATAATGGATATATTAGTGTTCAGTAGCACAATAGGGTGACTATAGTTAACAATAATTTATTGTATGTCTCAAAATAACTAAAAGAGTAGAATTGCAATGTTCCTAATGCAAAGAAATAATAAATGGTTGGGATGAGAGTTATCCCAATTACCTCGGTTTGGTCATTTCATATTGTATACTTACATCAAAATATCACATGTGCCCCATAAATATGTACAACTATTATATACCCATATAATTAAAGATAAAAAGTTAAAAAAATTTAAAAAATAATTAAATTCGCATCTCTTCTATATCCAAAGCATTTATCTTATGTTACCAAAAACTGAAAACATCTCAAATATTCATCAACAGGCATATGAATAAACAAATGGGAGAAGAATATAAATGAATCTCAAATCCATTATAATGATTGAAAAAAGTCAGACACAAAAGATCACACACTACATAATTTCATATATATGGTTCAAGAGCAGGCAAAACTTAATTACGGTGAGAGAAATCAGAACAGTGGATTTCTATGCCCGCCAGGAAATTTCTGGGGTGATGAAATGTTCTACCTAGGCTGGGATGCTTGTGCACAAGCATATGTGTGTGTCGGACTCTACACGGTGTGGTGTGCACTTATAGTTGTCTGGTACAGAGACTTGAAGCATATGTTAATTTTACCTCAAGAAAAAGAAAAGTATCTTCCTGAAAATAATAATAATGATCCAGGCAAGGACCATCGGTGGCTAATAAGCCATTAGGTAAAAGGCTGAGGGAAAACTTTAGTAGGAGCTGGATAAGGCTGATGACACCTGAACTCAATGAAAAAATGCCACTAAAAGAGACACAGGCAGATCACCTGTGCCTCCTGAGGGGATGCACTAGGCAGAGAGTCTATTAATGCAACCTCACCTGTGAAGCAGTCGCCTAAAAAGAAATTGAACCTGAATCCAATCAAGCCTCTAGCTCTATCCAGATTATACAGGAAATGAACAAACATGTTAAACTATGCCATGTGGACGCAATAAGAAGAATCTAGAATATGGGAAGTTCTGTAGGATAAATGACCCAGCTTCTTCAATAAATAAATGGCAAGAAAAAAAAAGGAAAGGGGAACCCATAGACTCAAGTAAAAGAGACACCTGAGCCAAATATTTGAGTGGATCTTGTTTGGATCCTCATTCAAAAAAAAAAAATCAAGTATAAAAACATTAAAAATAGGTGACTCTGTGGCACAATGGATAGCGCATTGGAATTCTAGAGGCTGGAGGCATTCAAAAAAAAATTAAAACTAAACCAACAACAGCAAGAGAGAGAGAAAGAGAGAGTGTCAGAGACATTTAAGCAAGTTTAGAAGTTTGATGATATTAAGAAATTACTGATGACATCATTGGGTGTGCCACTGGTATTATGGCTACAGTAGAAGGAAGAATCCTTATATTTTTGAGATACATTCGAAAATGTTTACCAATGACATGATGTCTGGGATTAGTTTTAAAATAATTAAATTATAGGGTGAAAATAGTGTGCATAGGAAGTATATGAATGTATAGATGAAAAAATAATAGCCATACATTGAAAAAAAAATTGTTTTTTTCTGAGACAGGGTCACACTCTGTCACCCAGGAAGAGTACAGTGGTGTCATTGTGTAGCTCACAGCAACCTCAAACTCCTGGGCTCAAGCGATCCTCCTGCCTCAGCCTCCCGAGTAGCTAGGACTACAGGCATGCACCACCATGACCGGCATAGATATATATATATTAGTTGTCCAACTAATTTCTTTCTATTTTTAGTAGAGATGGGGTCTCACTCTTGCTCAGGCTGGTCTCAAACTCCTGAGCTCAAGCAATCCCCCCTCCTTGGCCTCCCATAGTGCTAGGATTACAGGCATGAGCCACCATTGCCAGTTTACTTTTTTAAAATAAAAAAATAGTAATGCAAATCATGGTGGCAGACTTAAAAATCAAAAGGGATTCTGGAAATTTATAGTGTTAGGGAATGAAACAATTTTATATTTTTAAATCCCAGTAAGTTCATTTTAAGTTCAGTTATAACCAAAATGCTTAACAATCAGCTCAGTGTTCAATCAACATTCAATCTCTTCTACCAGTCATGTTTTATGATGTCTCATTACACTCTAAACATGTTTTGCAATTTTAACCATCATAAAGGTTTACATTTTAGAGGGGTAATAAAACAATTCCCTGCACGTCTCCTTGATTTCTATACTGAGCAGCAAGAAACTCAGGAAATCTGCCACTTGCTATTGAGCAGAACAGTTTTAATTTGGTGTAAGCGTGTGTTTCATGGGTCATAAATATTCTACAAACTTCCCTGGTCTTATCAGTAAAGAGGTGGTTTATCAGCTGCAGCCTGGCAAAGGGTCTTAGGTCCAAGATACTTGCTTCGTGGTTACTCTTGAATTAAGGCTGATCCTGTGAAGGCAGATTCATATTTGTGATTTCTTATTTTTCCTGATTGAAGAGGAGATTCATAATATTTTGTTTTCATAATATGAAGAAAACTAAAACATGGTGTGGTTTTTAGGCAACTGACGAGGTAAAAGAAAAGAGAATTCCTTTCGGTCCTGACATTGGACTAGAGAAATAAATGTAATCTTCACGTGCAACACTTGGTCCTAAGAGGGAGCAATACTTACATTGACCATAAAAGAATAAAAAAGAGAAAGCTGTTTATTCATTTTTAGGCTTAGAGACAACCTAAAACATACAAAGGCGAGAGGTGGTAGCCGGAGAGGAAAGACAGGGGTGGGTGGGCAACATACTGACTAAAGTTCACAAAATAAGGACTAGTGCTGTAAATATACTATTCATAATTACAAAATAATAAGAGAATGATTAAAAGTAAGATTCCTATAAAATATTTGGAGAATGGCAAAAAGGAAGTGATGATTTATGACCTAAATCATTTTTCTTAGTGAGTAATGGATCGATGCTGTCATAAGTTGATAGAGCAAGAAATAAAGTTTCATTATGTTGTTTTAATTATAAAGGTAATCATCAGGAAAACCAAAGACAAATTTCTCCAGGGATAGGGGAAGTTGAAGCAGGAGATTGTTTATTTCTGTTATAAACTCATTTTACCATTTGATTTGTTGCCACGTGCACTTAACTATTTTAACAAATTATAAATTTAAAGAAAGGGTAAGAACAAGAAAGCGAGAATATGAAACATGCATGTTTAACAAAAGCTCTTGTAGGTAGGAAGAGAAAGATGATAGGGTCCAGGACATGGACTTGGCCCAACACAGAGGGATAAACACAGCACTCGTGAACCCAGGCTTCAGACTCAGTGAGTTATCATTCGTTCCTGTCGGATTTGCAAAACTCTTAAAGACTGATTATACCAAATGCAAGGGAACCAGACATTCAAACTATTTGGCAGGAGTGTAAATTCATACAACCTTTCCAGAAGGCAATTAGGCATCAGATGACAGAATGTTGCCTGAGCAATTTCACTCCTAGTGTTCATCCTAATGAGACAGTCAAATAAGCAGGCAAAGATATAGGTATGAGGAAGGTGGCCACCCTGCTGTTTTAACGACGACAAAAGAATTAGGTACAACCTAAATGTCCCCCAGTAGAGGAGTGGCTAAACAAATGGTAACATATTCCTGTAATGGAATACCATTTAAAAGGTCTTAAATGGGCCGGGTGCAGTGGCTCACGCCTGTAATCCTAGCACTCTGGGAGGCCGAGGCGGGCGGATTGCTCAAGGTCAGGAGTTCAAAACCAACCTGAGCGAGACCCCGTCTCTACCATAAAAATAGAAAGAAATTAATTGGCCAACTAATATATATATACATAAAAATCAGCTGGGCATGGTGGCTTGTGCCTGTAGTCCCAGCTACTCGGGAGGCTGAGGCAGGAGGATCGCTTGAGCCCAGGAGTTTGAGGTTGCTGTGAGCTAGGCTGACGCCACGGCACTCACTCTAGCCTAGGCAAGAAAGCGAGACTCTGTCTCAAAAAAAATAAATAAATAAATAAATAAATAAAAAATAAAAGGTCTTAAATGTAAGACTATCGAGCGTTGAGAATCATTTTTCCAGTATGTATCTATATAACGATTCTAATTTATAAAATTTTATGTAAATATATACCTCTATAGATGGAGAGATTTTAGGAGAGGGGTTGTCCAAAACTGTGTGTAGTCTTTCAACAAATATTTCTTGAACATGACTGTGTATCAGAAAACAAAATACAATGAAAAATGTTTCTGCCCCCAAAGAACTTACGGTGGAATGGGGAATCAGGACAAGTGTTCGGGTGTGAGAAACATGGGTGTAGGATCAGTGGAGGGTGCTTTTGTGACACAGAAGAGGGTCCCTCCTCTCGTGAGTCCTCAGACTGGGGGGCTTCTGTAGGCATCTAAATGGAGCCCTGAAAAACTAGGAGTTGGCCAAGACAAAAAGAGTGGGGCAAGAATTACCCATAGGGATAGAATTTAGGTTTTGGTGGGTTTTTTGTCCTTTTTTCCTCTATGCTTTTATGCATTATTGGAAGTTTTAGAAAGACATTATAAAAAATATACTTTGAAAAAAATGAACCACTAAGGACATGTTGTTGACATGCTGCAAATATGTTGTTAACATGTTACTCGTGTCCTCCTATGCCTTGCAGGCCTGCGTTGTTTTTATGTTTTCCTTTTTGTTTTTAATAATTTAATGAGGTTTATTCTGAGCCTAACGTGTGTCATGGTGAGATTGAGATTAAACTGATTCTGTTTCTCCTGTCTGCATTTCCTCATCTAGAAACAAAAATAATCCTAGCTACCTATGAGAGAAGTAGCCTCGCCCTAGAAGCCCCGAGCACGAGGTCTGGGCCTGCGTCGCTGTGCCGTGTCCCCGCCTGCTCTCCGGCTCTGGCCGTGACCTACTGGACCGGGGATGGGCACTTGACCCAGAGACAAGCCACTGACCAGCCAGACGTTCACAGAGTGGCCCCGGCGCGAGAGGCCCTGCTTGATGGTGGTTATGTACGATATTGTGAATGTGTCAAATGCCACCGAATTGTACCCTTTGAAATTGTTACCATGGTAAGCTTTAAGTTACGTTTATCTTATCACAATTTTAAAAGTTAAAAAGAACAAGAAAAAAATTGCCAAAAAAATACAGTAAATGTCTATGGCAGATATAAGCCACAAATTACAAGAAAAAAACATCAAGATCCTAAGAGACTCACTGGCAACCTGTATGAACAGACAATTCACAAGAAGGTGTGTAAATTGTAAACGGAACTGGAAAATGTTTTATCTTCTGCGATAACTGATAACATTATAATAAGAAAATCTTTAGGTGTTATTTTATAACCAAGGAAATTAACTAACGTGGGAAGGAAAGAAGGGGGAAAGGGCAGAAGGAAGGAGGAAAAAAGGGAAGGAAAAGGAATACAAAGTGGGAGGGATGGTGAGAGGGAGAGGAGGAAGGAAGGAAGGAAGGGGGGAGGACAGAGTAGGCTAGGAATGTGGGAAGGAGGAAAGAAGAGAGGGAGAGTAGGAAAGAAGTCAGCAGTCATGGTGAGATTGAGATGAAATCGATTTCTCCCATTGTGGCACAAATGGAAAGATGGAAGATGGGGACTTTGGGCTAAACCTGGCCAGCATAGGACAGGAAGGGCCTGGAATTTGAGGACCGTGGAGGTCTCCTGTGGCCTTGGACTGCTCACCTCCAGGCAGCCTGTATGTGGGAAGAAAATACAGCTCTCTGGGATTTAAGCCACTGTTATTTCTGGTCTCTGTTACTTGAAGTTTTGTGCAATTCTTAACTGATAAACTTCTTCAGTTAGCGGTGAGGATTAAATGCGATGATGTTTGTAATATGTGGCCCCGTGCCCACTGCACCAAAGCACCCATGGTAGTATTGCTTCTCAGTGCTGAATAAAGGAATCAAAGAAATTTCTACAATTTCACCATAATCACAAATCTCTTACTCGGGCAAAGCTTTTAAGTATCTAGGGAGTTACCAAATATAAATATATGCCTCCCAAGGGCATTCCTTGCTAATACTCTACTAACATTAGAACACACTGGGCTCAAACAAAGAACTACACAAAAGGGGGAGGAGGAGTTACTTGTTTTCTAAAATAGGTTGGTTTTATTTCAAGGGTAAACTTGAGTGGTGTTGGGAAATCCTCACCTGGGCTATGTTCCTACTGGAAAATAAGAGCTTAAAACCTCTCCAAAGCTGTCGTTTCCTCTTACTCGCTAGAGAGATGACGAAATGGATACTCTTCACTAAAAACGGCCCTGTCGTCCTACACTGTATTACCTTGCAAAATCCACATATTTTAGAGGAAGGAAGAAAAAGCTTTCAAACTTCAGTTCTTCCTGAAGCCTGCTCTATTGTCCAGGCTGGAATACAGTATTGCAATGAGAGTTCACTACAGCCTCAAACTTCTGAGCTCAAGCAATCCTTCTGTCTCAGCCTCCTTGTTGGTGCAGGGGGTGGGTGGGTGGAGGGAAGTCCTGGCGGGGAGGTGCGGCCCACTCAGACCCACTCAGGGGAGCAGGCCTGGCCCTGCCCAGCCACCGAAGTTGTTCAGTGCCTGCCATTGGCAACACTGATCTTCCGAGCTCAGCCCTTGAAGAAGGCGGGGGCCTGGTGGGCTCCCCATGTCAGGGGAAGTTGCCAAGAGACGGAAGAAACACACGTACAAGTTTGTCTGCAACAAGCAAGGTTCTCATTCCTGCCCTGTGAGGATATACAGGGTTTTCAACAACTGGATTCCTTTGGTGGGGCGTGGGGTGGGAGGGTGGGGGTGTGGATAGATTATCAGGATTTTAGCATTCACGTCTACACAGGGTAAAGGGCTTACATTCCAAGACATTAAGAGGACACTCAAACACTAACTGAAAGTTAGCTAGCAAATATGAAAACTATTTTATCAGTAGTTTCTAGAGTTTCAGCTAAAAGTTTCATAAAGAAGAGGATGAGAGCCAGGCACAGTGGCTCACGGCTGTCACCCAAGCAACTCGGGAGGCTGAGGCAGGAGGATGGCTTAAGGCCAGGAGTTTGAGACCAACCTGGGCAATATCACAAGACCCCATTTCTACAAAAAAACATTTTTAATTTTACCAGGAGTGGTGGCATGTACCTGTAGTCCCAAAGATTCAGGAGGCTGAGACAGGAGGATTGCTTGAGGTCAGGAATTTGAGGCTGCAGTGAGTTATGATTGTAATACTTTATTCCAGCCTGGACAATAGAGCAAGACCCCTACCCTTAAAAAAAAAAAAAAAGACGACAAAATGTTTCCAGGATGGATATAAGGAACATTACTGAGAGAGCCTGTGATCCTAACTCTGAAACGGAACGCTGGAAAGGCTGAGTTGACACTTGTTCTTTGGTTCTCTAAGTCACTCTAAGTCACTTCTAACCTAGGAAGAGTATGGATGGATGGATGGATGGATGATCAGTTGGACCAAAACAGGAAAATAGGGAACAACATGGGGAAGATTACTGCCCATCCCTCACCATTGGTTCCTACAAAACTACAATGGGAAAGTAACTTACAACCTACCTTCACAAAACCTGGTAAGAAATTGGTAGATTAGGGATTTACTCTGAAACTCAAAGGCTTGGATGGAGATCAAAATATGTATGTCTAAAGGACTGGTTGACATTTTATTCTATTGTTTTTTGCCATACTGATTTTTTTTAGCCATAAATAATTGGGCCACGGTAGATATTTGTTAAGCTGCATTTTGTGTGCAGTGTGTGATAGAATTTGTTTTGCAAGATCATCAATTTAAAAAAATGAAATTTTCATATTCCATTTACCTTCAGCCATAAAATAAAAGTTGACTCCCCACCCACACCCCGCCCCAGCCCACCCCACGCCCAGCGGCAGCAGGAAAAAACAATCCAAATCCACGATGCCCTGAGAGTCTCTTACCTCTGCGTGTTCCTTGGACAGCCGTCCAGCTTCGTTTGGGCCCTTTTGTTCCCCTCTCCCCAGCGGAAGTTGGACGGATGGCCTCTCGGGCGTTTCTGGACCTGTCCTCCCGAGAAGCCCGTCCCCTGGTCTTATCCTCCCCGTTCAGCTCGGTGCACAGGCCAGGATTGTCTAAGGAGCAAGCTTGCGCCCTGGGCAGTGAGTGGCAGGGGAGTCACACCCCCTCGCCGCCTTTTCCCAGGGGAAATTACACCTCTCGTGCAGACAGCAAGTGGCTGCCAAACCTTGGAGGAAATTAATATGTTATTCTCAGGGCGGCTGGGGGGATTTCTGAAACAGTAGGTCTAGGCAAGGGGCAGAGGGAAGTTTTGCCCTTGCAAACATTTTCTCACAGCCGTTGTTGTTTAGAATTCAAAGGCCAAAGGCCGGTGATCCATCGAAGCACAGCGTATTTTTCAGATAGTTGTTGAGGACAGTAGTGAGCTGAGAACCTGCAAACTATCCAGGGATCATGGGGACTGGCAGACCTCTGACCTCACCACGCACACGCTGCTGTAATCTACTCCTGCCAGCCGCCACCACCGAGCGCCTCCTCCACGCCCAGGCCTTCCCAACTCCACCACATGGGGGGCAGGTGGCGGCTAAAACGGCAGAGTCCCGGCTGAAAGGTAATTTTTAATTTGATCGGCTCTTTTGAAATTTTACTTACTAACAATGAAAATTTAGCGCTGAATAAGATACTGGGTGAAAGTACTTTGTAAATTGTAGAGCACTTTAAAAAAAAAAAGAATGTTAATTATACTTAACTCTAGCAGTATGGTTATCACGGAGATTATTTCACCTGCATAAAAGTCATTCAGTCAAAACAGTCAATGGAAAGAAGCTTATGGGCTATAAGGAGTTTCCAGTCTAGGCACCCTAAGGAATGACTTTGGGGGCCAGGCACTGTGGCTCACCTGTAATCCTAGCACTTTGGGAGGCCGAGGATGGAGGATGGCTTAAAGCTGGGAGTTTGAGGCCAGCTTGGGCAACAAAGCAAGACCCTGTCCTTACAAAAAATTTAGAAATTTAGCCACAGCTTGGTGGCACATGCCTGTAGTCCCAGTTACTCAGGAAGCTGAGGCAGGAGGGATCGCTTGAGCCCAGGAGTTTGAAGCTGCAGTGAGCTATGATGCCACTGCACTCCAGCCTGGGCGACAGAGCAAGACCCTGCCTCAAAAAAACTCTTATCTGATCCTTGCCATTTGAGAAAAAAAAAAAAAGAAAAGAAATTATTTATGCTCCCACAGACCCAGAGAGTAATGGACCAGACCTTGCCTAAGCTCATGCTGCTCTTTCTCCAGTTCTCCAACATACTGTGTAAACAAAGTCCCAATGATGTCATGTTGTCACACTGCATTTGACAGGATGTACTGATGCAGAGAGAGGCCCTCCCTCCCAACAGAGAACTGTACCTGTTCTTCCTCATCTGCAGTGAAAAGTTCATGAGAAAGTTCTTAAGCTTATAATGCTCAGCCCTTACACAAGGGAAAAAGGCGTTTGAGGAAGAGGGAAACAAGGGAATTAGATAAACACGATCCTTCTCCGGGATTAGCCTGTGTAACGCTATTGTTCAGCTTTGGCCTCTACTTGTCAACACCAAATGTGATGGAATAATATTGAATAAAGACATCTTAAAGAAGAAGCGAATGAGTCAGATGTTTATTTTCTTGATTATCATGCTTAAAATACTGCAAGAAGACATCAGTTTAGCACTCCCCCTCACTTCTCAATCATTTTATTATTTGAGAACTAAGACCCCACGCGAAGTCAAAACAACTTGCCAAAGCAGTTCCTCTGTGACGTGGTTACGTCATGTCAAATCCCCAAGCTTAGACCCAAATAACCCATAGCTTCGTGCTTCGGATCGGCCAAGAACAATCATCCCATTGAATGCCTGGCACGGGCTGACGTCAAAGGCAAGGCTGAACCTCTCTCGTTGGCACGGAGACCCCAGCCTACTCCTCGGCTGTGCCATCCAGGATGTCTTTGAAGGAGAATGGAGAAAACTTGTAACCAGCCCCGACATAGAACTTGTTCTGGAACTCCACCCTGTGGTTGGGGGGCAGGGGAGGTAAGAAAAAGGAGGGTTAAACACATAAGTGAGAGGCTGGCGGGTAGAAGAAAGAAGCAGGACGTTTGTAAAATCAAGCAGAGGATCAGAAAAGCCTGCCAGGGAGGGTGCCCTGGGCTGATGGCTGCCACGGGCACCCTGAGGATTCCTTTTTTTTTTTTTTTTTAACAGAGTCTCATTGTGTCACCCCAGTACAGTGCCATGCTATCATCACAGCTTACTGCAGACTCAAACTCCGGGGCTTAAGCAACCCCCCTGCCTCAGCCTCCCAAGTAGCTGGGACTACAGGTGTGCATCACCACACCCAGCCTCTTTTTCTAGGTTTAATAGAGATAGGGTCTCCCTATTGCTCAGGCTGGTCTCGAACTCCTGACCTCAAGGGATCCTCCCGCCTCAGCCTCCCAGGGTGCTAGGACTGCAGGTGTGAGCCACCATGGTTGGCCCTGAGGATTTTTAAAACCTACTCTCACCCCCTCTTGCCACCTCCCCTCTCCCCTCCCCCTCCCTTCCCCCGGGTCCCCTCTGCCCCGGTCACAAAGATGTCCTCACCATGCAGCACTACCTGATGTGTTTTCCAGTTCCATCCTGATTCTAGATTGTGGGGCAGAACAAGCAGAACTCGACCTATATTTTTATGACTCACATAACTGATGTCATGTTCGATCACTTATGTTTCGTTTTTTTTATTTTTTTGAGACAGAATTTCGCTTTGTTGCCCAGGCTAGAGTGAGTGCCATGGCGTCAGCCTAGCTCAAACTCCTGGGCTCAAGCAATCCTGCTGCCTCAGCCTCCCGAGTAGCTGGGACTACAGGCATGCGCCACCATGCCCGGCTAATTTTTTCTATATATATTAGTTGGCCAATTAATTTCTTTCTATTTTTAGTAGAGACGGGGTCTCGATCTTGGTCAGGCTGGTTTCGAACTCCTGACCTCGAGCAATCCGCCCGCCTCGGCCTCCCAGAGAGCTAGGATTACAGGCGTGAGCCACGGCGCCCGGCCACTTATGTTTTATTAAGTTGCAGAGATCAGTTCGTGTCCTTAACGACTCGGAGGGAAATGCTGTCACCGTGGGGGCAGGGGGGGGACGCTGTGACTCTCTCCACTCAACACATGAAGTGGGAAAACGTTTCCTTACGAATAGTGGCCACAGAGGGAGGTAGAAAATGTCAGAGAAAGCCGAGGGCGGCGTGGGTGGCGTAAGGGCTGCACAGCACACCCGAAATTCTTGGCTGGCGTGTGACTTGGGAGAGAAGCAGAGGCCTACGCAAACGTTTTCGTGTTTATCGACCTAGTGACGGCCCACGGTCCCTGGTCACATCCGTGGGTGTCCAGGGCTTCCCACGAGCAGCTCCTTCCTCGCGGCAGCCTCCTGTTTCCACGTTTGAGAATTTAGTAGCTGCTGCACTCAGCAACAGGCGCCGACATGCGCGGTGTGCTCTCTAGGAGCCTATTTCAGATCTGCCACCTTGTGAACTCTGGAGCTGTCACTTATGTTAAAGCCAACTGTCATAACAAAGAAACACTAAATGTCCAAAAGGGAAGGAGTAAATGGAACTAATAGTGTAGGACAGTAATTATATGCGAATGCAGATATTACATCATTGACTGCTGTAACCCACTCATGACTAAACTAAGGTTCCAAAGGGGTAGGTCAGTTGTCCTGTCACACACAGGTCAGGATTTGGACCCGGCCGGCTGGCCCCGTCCTCTTCCCTGCACCACCCGGGCCTGTGCGGGGCGCCCTCTCACCAGTGCAGCCGCAGGGCGTGCAGGAAGGCAGACAGGCCCTCCATGATCAGAAGGATGGCCACCGTCAGGACAGCAAAGACGGCGAAAATTATGAAGACCCCAATGATGCCGCCCCAGCCTCGCAGGTGAAGGCCAATGTTCATGACCATGGTCCAGAGCACTTCGGACAGTTCTGCAAGAGGCAACGGGAACATTCTCAACCCCAGGAAGACCCATCGGGCATGCCCGATGCCATCACAGGGGTCCTTGTGAGAGAAGGCGGGAGAGTGGAGTCAGGGGAGAAGGAGAGCTGCTGAAGGGAGTGGAGGCTGCTGTGCTCCAAGGAGGGGCCACAAGCCAAGGAGCACAGGCGGCCGCCAGAAGCTGGGGAGGCGAGGAAACGGATTCTCCCCAGAGCTTCCAGAACGAACAGCCCTGCCGACACTGTGATGTTAGGACTTCTGGCCTCAAGAACTGTAAGACAGTAAATCTGTGTTTTGTTTTAAGCCACTAATGTTTGTGGCAATTTGTCCCAGCAGCAAGAGGAAATGAACACAGAGAGTCGCCACTCCAGCAATGCGAAGCCAGACCTACTGAGACACAGTCACCTCTCCCTAGGAAGGAAGAGCCGTTCTTCTGGCCAGGCCACCACAGAGAACCCAGAGAAGGCGCCTCTCCCTCTGAACACGCTGCATCTGTCCCCCCGGGGCGGGCGGAGCGCCACCGCGGGCCGCTCACTCACGTGCGTGGGCCAGGCTGAGGGCCCAGAGCCGCAGGTAGGAGGCGGTGTTCGAAATGCAGCCCAGGCAGTACTCGATGGTGTGGATGGCCTGATGGACGAAGACGTCTCCGAAGTTGAACTGAAACAGAGAATTTTTAATTTTATTTCATCGCGTACTTTCTGCACGAAAGGTGTCACGCATGATCCGCAGGTGAGTAGACATGGGCTTTGCTGTCAAGACACGCTCAGTGGGTAACAGGGGGAAAGTAAACATTAACAGACTCGGAGAGAGAACTAGCAGCGTAGGCAGGAGCTGGTGCACGTGCAGTAACGCTTCCCAGCAAGAGCCCGGGACGGTCCAAGGAAGAAGACGGCGGTGAGGGGAGCCAAGGAGTGTGCGGTGCCAGGAAGGACGGGCAGGCGGCCGGAGAGGCGGGAGCAGATTGTTCCCGGTAAGGAAAGGACAGACGGCTGGGAATGTCATTAACTCGAGTCTGGGAGGAAAGAAGTTGGCTGGAACTGGCAGCTTGTTTAGGTGGGGGATAGAAGACAGTGCTCCAGCACTGAAGATTCTGGAAAGG